ACACTAAATATAATGAAAGGTGCAGCGCTAATATGATCAAATAGTGTAATTTCCGTATTCGGATGATCTAGTGAAAATGAGTGTTGTGGTCAGCAGTGAGGGGTGGGCACATTGCTGGAACCTGAGTCAGGCAATGATCACTTCTTGCTAGTTTCCTCACCTGTGTGCAGCTGTGAGTGGAGCTGAGCATCTGTGTGTGGGACTGAGCAGCATTACCCTCTACCTGAGACGTGTGTGGACAGTCTCCTCCTTTTTTGGACTCTTTATGAGTCCAACCATCCACAGTATTCTTCACTAAGGAGAGAGAGTAGCTGCTGTCACCCAGGAGCCATCCAGGGAGGAATCTACATCAGGCGACAAAGGCCCTGTTAAGACACCCCAGCTGATTATCTTCTCAAAATGTGCTATAACTTTGCGCATCTGGTGAGTGCGCAATTTATTATTTAATATCACCAGAAGATTTGGGAAATATATCACCCTTGCATTCGATATCTCATCACCAGGCTTCACGTCTGCTGTTTCTTTGGACTTTTATTGTTGTTATTTTATGTATGAACTCTCATTTAATGAATGGTAATTTTCACTAGATCATCCGAATACGCAAATTACACTATTTGATCATATTAGCGCTGCACCTTTCATTATATTTGGTTTTGAGAGGGTTATGTTGGTACCTTTTGGTGTCCTAGCTGCTTTATAATATAGCGCTCACTTTGATCCCCCATTTTGATTGTTTTTAAACACTGTTCAGACAGAAGTAACATTATGAATGCATATGAATGAAGTGATCTTTATATGGTGCCAGTTATACAATATAACAAATAACAAAAAATGTTTTTGCTTGTTATAAAAAAATTTTTTCCCCAGGTAACCCATTATTAATCCATATTTTACACCATTCTGCTCTAATTAACTTTTTTCTTCTCCTTCTACCCTTAAAGGATAAGTTCACCTTTTTTTAAATTTCAGCTTCCCTATGTACAAATATATTCTCTTTTGCACAAAAGAAAACACTGTCTATTTGTCCTACATTAGGCCTTACCTCCAGATTGCTGTATGGAAAATTGAAAGGTTGGAAAAACTGTTAAGATACAGGAAGGAATTCACCAGCTGACTTCATGAACACAACACCCTGCACCTGCCCTCTCGCTCCAGGAGATGGCTCCCACCCACCTCTGTACTAACATAAAATCAATGCCAATGAACACCATTCTCACTGAATACACCAGCCATAGCCAAGGTCTTCCCCGTTTTGCACCTTACTGTCTTTTGCAATGATGGCTCATTTGACATAGTGTGCAGGAGCTGAGCGATCACAGCCTATGTAGAGCAGAGGTTTAATATTAAAAACAGAAGTATGTCCTGGAAGTCTTTAGGGGATACACCATACACTATACAATCTGATTGTACTTGTCCTTTAGATCATCAACTATGTTGTGCAAGAGCCTGCCTGATTGGATACAGAAGGATTGGATAGATGGTGTGTTCTTTATATTATATAGTTGCACTTTTTGTGCCATTAATTTGTAGCGGCACCCAAATGCAGAAGCAAGCACATATTAAAAAACATGAAATCCATGTAAAACAAGTGACAAATGCAGCAAAATGCACAGTAAAAAATGTGCAAACCACAACACAACAAAATGTCCCATGAACTACTTTGCCATGTGTAGGGCAGCCCATTGAAATCAATGGCCCTATGTGTGTCAAGGAAAAAACAAGCCAAAAATTGTACATTCCTCTGTGCTAGATGTAAATGGGGCATGAAAGTGAAATTGGTGTGTTTGCACAAGAACAATGAGGCTCCATTCACATTTTTGGATTTCCATACACATAGCAAACTGCACAGAAAATGTGCACTTTGCCATGCATTTCAGCATCGGGTTGTAAATGTGCATTGTGCTTGCATTGTCATGTTAAAGGCGCCCCAAGCAGGGGTAGTAGGCATGCATTTGCCATGCAACAAACGTGCTGCAAAAAAAAGCAGTAAAAAATGCACTACGCTCTGCTTTAAAAAAGGTTTAGAGAGATTGTCCCATGTAGAGCAACTTGAATGGACTGCCGTATGCATGATGAGTGAAAACACTCCAAAATGCCCCAAAAAACGCAATTGGGAATGTGAGTTCCTGCTATGTGGAGATGTGAACAGGGCCTGACAGCTGACTGTCTCCATCCACTCCCTCCTATGTACTTGTATAAAGAAAGCCATACATTGTACAAGCTGATACAATCTCTGTACAATTTCCTTTAGATTTACTATGGATGGAGGACACACATGAACAATCCATTCAATTTGTATCAAATCAGACAGGCCCTTGTACTACATAGCTGATGGTAGATCTAGAAAAAGAGAGAGTGTGCAATCAGAGACTGTACATAAAGTAGGTGGAAATAAACAAGAGGTTGTATAGTAGTGAGCAGCTGTGGACTGACAACTCATGGGGCCCCCGGGCAATAGGGGATCATAGGGCCCCTGTGTCCTTGCCCACACTCAAACCACACTCAAAAAAGCCTATGAAAGGTACCAGGGACATCTCATGGGGCCCCCTACTGACCCCGGGCCCTCGGGCAGTGCCCAAGTTCCCCAATGGTCAGTCCGCCCCTGGTAGTGAGGAAGGTGAGGTCCAGAGAGGGGAAAACAGGCTATCATGCCCTCTTCTGTGATGCAGCAAGGCAGTGCATGCTGAGATATGATCTACATAAAGTGATGGATTTAAAAAGCATTTTTAAAAATCCAAACAGATGAAAATGTAAAGCTTCTATGGATGAGGTAAGTGAAAGATTAGCACATTGGGATAGCTGTGGCAGTAATTTTATTACAAAAAGTTTCTATTTATTTTAAAAAGTGAAATTCTGCATGAAAAGGTGAACTTAGCTCTTCATTATTATTTTCATGGTTTTTTGTTTGGTTTTTTTTATTTTTCAACATTATTGTTTAAACCTTAAATTTGTTTATTATCTTTTTAGTGATGCTTAAAAAACAAACAAATAAATAAATAACATTGGAAAAGAAACCCTTTTTTATCTACAGTAATATTTTTTTTTTTACCTAACACTGATCAAGCAAAATTTTAGCTTTGTAAAGTCTTTTGTCTATAGTTTGCATAAATAATAAAATACTTTTTGATGACAATATCACCAAAAAAAAGTCTTGTTTGTCCTAAAAAAAACAACATATGTATTACTTTGTTATCTTAAGTAATGAAAAACAGCTAATTAATGCACATCTTTTATAATTGATAAGTGGCAATCATTCCGCTGCAACCAGATTTAGTTTTGCAGCTCTGTGTGATTGTAATTTAGTCATTTCAAAGTTAAACTAAATTTTCATGAGGTAGCTTAGTTATTTTGCTCACCCCTTGTGAGAAGTTCATACGGGGCAATTAAGTAAAAATGTAAATCACACGCGTACCGTATTTTTCGCCGTATAAGACGCACTTTTTCTTCCCCAAAACTGGGGGGGAAATGTCAGTGCGTCTTATAAGGCGAATATGGAGAGGCCGGTCCGGTATTTCCACCGCCGCCGTGTCAGAATACCGGGCCGGCCGCTCAGCTCTGCAGCGGGACCTTACCTGTTCCTCTATCCAGCGGCGTGCTGTCTTCCCGGCTTCTGTAGTGTGGGCACTGGGCATGACAGCCGGGTGCCAAGTGCGCATGCGCAAGAAGCGGTGCTTTTTGTGAATGGTAAGGCGGTACCTGGGACACACGACAGATCCCAGAAGCCGCCGGACCAATCACAAAGCGCAAGCGCTTCTTGCTCATGCGCACTGGGCACCCGGCTGTCATGCCGAGCGCCATTACAGAAGCCAGGAAGACAGCACGCGGCTGGATCGAGGAACAGGTAAGATAAAAAAAAAACTCTGCGGAAGTAAGAGCGGGTACCTGTCAAATTCAGGTACCCGCTCCCCACCTCCCCAAAGGTCAGCAGTCATCTGTACTGTCCGCAGTCTCTGGTCATCCCTGTGCTGTCCGCAGTCTCTGGTCATCCCTGTGCTGTCTGCAGTCTCTGGTCATCCCTGTGCTGTCCGCAGTCTCTGGTCATCCCTGTGCTGTCCGCAGTCTCTGGTCATCCCTGTGGTCCGCAGTCTCTGGTCATCTCCTGTCTGCAGTCCATTAGTTCAGAATTTTTTTTTTCCTGTTTTCTGCCTCTAAAACCTAGGTGCGTCTTATGGTCAGGTGCGTCTTATACGGCGAAAAATACGGTAAGTCTTGTGTACCCCTGTGTCTGCACATAGGATTGGTCTTTTAATGGTTTTGGTTCACTACAATTTTACATTTTACTCATTGATCAACACTTTTCATCCATCAATCAAACTAAAAATGGAATACTCAAACACACACCTCAACTTCCTAGACAGCACAGTATACATCAGGGATGATACGTTTCACATCTCAATATACAGGAAACCCACTGACAGATGCAACTACCTCCACAGTTCCAGCTTCCACCCCCAACACACAAAACGTGCCATCATACACAGTCAGGCCATTAGATACCACCAAATATGTTCTGACCCAAGAGACAGAGATAAACATCTCAGGACACTAGCAGACGCCTTCCATAAGAAAGGTTACAAGGACAAAACTATCAACACCAGCATAAACACAGCCTTGATAACATGAAGGGAAAACCTACTTCAGTACAAAGGGAAAAAACAAACAACCGTGTACGTTTAGTAACCACATACAACCCAGCACTAGAAGGAATAAGAAAAATAATCAAAGATTTACAACCCATCATAACAGAGGATGGAACTCTGAAAGAAATATTCCAGCAACCCCCAATACTGGCCTTCAGACAACCCCCCAACCTCAGAAATAAACTAATCAGTAGGAAACTTCCTTCTGATTATGATGTCACAAATAATGGAAGCACACCCTGCAATAGAAAACGCTGCAAACTGTGCAACCAAATCAATCCATCAAAAAAGTGTCAGACACTCAAAAGGGATCTTCAATATCTCCGGATCACACAGCTGCACTTCTAGTAATGTTGTGTACAGGGGCGGACTGACCATTTGGAAACTTGGGCACTGCTCGAGGGCCCAGGGTCAGTAGGGGGCCCCATGAGATGCCCCTGGTACCTTTTTCATAGGCTTTTTTGAGTTTGGGCAAGGACACAGGGGCCCCATGATCCCCTATTGCCCGGGGGCCCCATGCGTTGTCAGTCTGCCCCTGGTTGTGTACCTTATCCAGTGCAGAGACTGTAGCAAAGGATCTTATGTTGGCGAAACAGGACAGAAGTTGCAAACAAGGATGAATTTGCACAGACATACCATCAAGGAACATAAAGAAGATGACTTTTGCACACCTGTGGGGCACCATTTCACACAACCAGACCACACTATGGAAAACCTCAATATTTTTAGTTCTTAAAGGAAATTTCAAAACTATTCAGGAAAGGAAAACTTTTGAACTTAGAATGATAATTCTATTTGATACCAGAGATAACGGCCTGAATTTGGACATGGGATTCCTCACTCATTATCCAACAGTTTTACAACCCCCTCTGTGAGTGTTGTCCCCCCCTCCCCCCAGTCTTTGTTTTTGCTGTGTCTTATCTCTAGTCTAATCCTAGTCTTATAACCATTGCTGTTTACATTTGTTTGTGTGTGTTTCTTTCTGTTTTTTTTTTCCTCCCCCTTTCAACATCTCTTCTAACATTCTGCTAAAACTTTGCATAGTAGTGCTGCTTGGAGCTTGAAGAAGGGGACATACCCCAAAAGCTTGTCCTCAAAATTGTATGTTATTGCAAATAAAAAAAGTATCATGGACAGTACTCAATTGTTTTGGTTCACTACAAGTTACACATACAATATCATAGTTCTTTCCTGAAGGAATAGACTAATACTGCCTATGAAACGCATTCAAAATGGGATGCCATCTCACTATTGACCAAGAATATGCTGTAAATGGAGATTTGCAATCACAAACATTGCAATAAATAGACATTGAATCAGAATAGCGGTTATGTCTACCCCTCTGGGACAATGGTATGATGCTATAAGGCGTAACATTATGAGCTGTGCTTAAATATGGACTATCGTGATCAATTCACTAGCAATCTTTTAGAATTAAAATTTTATATTGTTAAATAAAACATGTTATTTCTTGTTAATTGCTATATGTGGCTAGGAATAAAAATGCTTGTTTTATGGAAATATATTTGCATGGTACTTTTAATGTCAAACTATATGTTATTGAAAAAGTGGTTAACACATACAAGAACATCAGGTAAATCAATAACACCATGATCATGGGAAAATGCAAATGAAAATACATACAGTATATACTGTAAGATCAGTTTGGCCCACCACATGTGGAATTATTCATGCTAAAAGAAACCGGTCAGATACAAATTTTAGCATTACTGACCTTATTCCAAAAAATGGATTCTGTAACTAACACAGAACACTTGGCAACCTGTTCAGTTTTTTCCACTATCAATAGAATTTAGAAAAGGCTAATAATTACATAGTTACATAGTTAGTCTGGCTGAAAAAAGACAAAAGTCCATCCAGTTCAACCATGTAAAAAAAAAAGTTATAATCCTATACCCACAGTTGATCCAGAGGAAGGCAAAAAAAACCCTTAGCAAAGCATGATCCAATTTGCTCCTGATCCCCCGAGAGGCAATCAGATATTCCCTGGATCAACTTTACCTATAAATGTTAGTATCCAGTTATATTTTGTGTATCTAAGAAAGAATCCAGACCTTTTTGAAGGCAATCCACTGAGCGGGCCAGAACCAACTCTTGAGGGAGTCTAGTCCACATTTTCACAGCTCTCACTGTGAAGAAACATTTCCGTGTCTGGAAATTAAATTTCTTGTCCTCCAGACGTAAAGAGTGCCCCCTTGTCCTCTGTGTTGACCTCATTGTGAATAGATCTACACCAAGTTCACTATATGAACCACTGATGTATTTATACATGTTGATCATATCCCCCCTCAATCTCCTCTTCTCAAGAGAGAATGAAGTTAGTTCCTCTAATCTTTCCTCATAGCTGAGCTCCTCTATGCCTCTTATCAGTTTGGTTGCCATTGTCTGTACTTTCTCCAGTTCCCCAATGTTTTTTTGTGAATTGGTGCCCAAAACTGAACTGCATATTCCAGATGAGGTATTACTAATGATTTGTACAGGGGTAATATGATCTCTCTCTCTCTGGAGTCTATACATCTTTTAATACAAGAGAGGATTTTGCTCACTTTAGAAACCGCATATTACGAATGTCCATATAAAATAACATCTGGGTAGCAGTGACCATAGCACGATTTCATTTATTGTTAGCTGTAAACAGCGAGCACATATGGGAAAAATAAAACACTCAATTTTAAGAGAGCTAATTTTCCAAAGCTGAGAGCTGCTCTCCAAGACATAATAGGCTTTTCACTTTGCAAGGGAATATGCCCCAAAGCTTAATGAATGTGGTAAAGTTTCACTTTGCAAAGATTACCTAATAAAGTGCAAGGAAAATAAAAAACTGCATTTTTTTCCTTGCATATGACTGGATGATAGAAGTCAGCAGAGCTTCCCCTCATTCACTAAGCTCTGATATAAATTCCCTTTCAAAATGAACAGTCTATTTGCCTTTGGGAAATCAAGCCCAATATCTATAAACTCACTAAGATTTGTCTTGCAGTACACACAACTCATTCTCCTGTAACTATTCCACACTGGACAGGCCACACTTAAAGTCAAATCATCCTCTGCCTATATAAACTAATGCTATCCTGGTTCAGAAGGTAAAATTACCCTAATATTATTTCCTCCCAAGCCAAACCAAGACATGTGGACATGTGCCATTGTGTTACTGATTTGGAATGGGAAAATGTTATATGCACAGCAACAAGTCCTACACATCCAGTCATTTCTCAACCTATAGCGCTTTTGTTGAGCACTGCAGTTTGTTAGCTCTACCTTCCTTCCCTTTCTTGTGTCACTATTGTGACACTGTGTTTCTCGAAGTGTACTCCTAGTTCTTAGTTATACACACTGCAGATTATCTCTCTGTTCTATAGATTATCTCAGTTATGTGGAGTGCTTCATTTCTTTCTGTTACTTGCAATGCCCTCTACCTCTTTGTCACATGCAGTGCTCAAAAGAATCTGTTACATATAATACCTTATATCTCTCTGTTACATTTCCTGCCGCATGCTTACTTTGTTGCACATTGTGGCTTATATCTTTGTTAAAGTGGTAGTAAACCGCCACAAATATAAGAAAAAATCAGGCCCCTGCAGGTTTTAGTCATAATGTACTAGTATGCACCCCACATTATGACAAGACTTACCTAAACACTCCAGCGCCGCACTGTCACAGCTCCTCGGCACTTCCATCTTCAACCGGTCTTCCTTCCAGGTTCGCTTGGTCTGGCTTTATTAATGGCCAGCACGGAGCTCTGAAGGTATAGCACTGGTATGCTATCCTGTTAGAGCGCATGTTCCGGTAATGTCACTGGCTGCATCCCGTGTTAATATCTCCTAAATGGTGCAAGTTTAGGAGATATTCATTGTACCTACAGGTAAGCCTTATTATAGGCTTACCTGTAGGTACAAGTTAAAAAGTGGACTTTACTTCCACTTTAAATTGATTGCCCAACCCCTCTTATGCATACGTAGTGCCTCACAACTCTCTGTTACGTATTACGAGCAGTAAGTCTTCCTTTGTGCTTCATACTGATCAGTCAGTTATTTATTGTGACAGAATCAACTGGGACAGGGCTTTCGGAAGGGACTATGGGCTAGCCGTCTACCCATTGAGTATGACCCATTTAGGAGACCGGAGATTTTTTCTGCTTCTCCTGCTCAGAGCATGGAAGAGAGCCAGTTTCTGAAACCCTTTGTCTGGTCAGGAGAATCTACAGAGATCATGCTGCCAGGAAGTCCTCAGAACATTGGTGTGTCTGCTGGAACATTGTATCGGACAGATTGTGCAGATGCACTTTCACCAGCCGAGGATATGGAACTCTTCTTGGGCATATTTCGTATCTTGTCCCTGCTGGTTCTTGAGAGCTGCAAAATGAAGCATTTGCCTGTTTTGCCCTGGCTGCTACCAACTTTATATAACATTTTTTATATTATTTCCATGGAAGATGTGCCACTCGGTAACCTAGATCCAAACTAGGTTTGGGGTGGGGCATTTAGGAAGGAGTGGTGTAAGAAACTTTGTGTATCAGGGGCTGTGGAACTGTTTCTAGGCATCCCAGTAGGCACACCCTGGCTAATCAAGACTTACTGTGAATATGTTTTCCAGCACATAGACAAGGGAGGCAGGGTGGGGAATTCCTGTGACTGCTAGCCATACTTATAAGACTTACCTAGTTAATTAGCTGTTACTTAGATTAATGTTCAAAGGTTGCATTGTCATGTTTTTACTGGTTATACATCTTATCTTATCTATACTATGTCCTCCTGAGGGTATAGAGTATGTGCCTGGATTTTACTAAACAATTATTCTTTTGGTTTTAACTTTTATCTGTGTATGAGGCTTGGGGTAAAGGATCGGTATTAGCTATAGGTCTGCTGAAAGGGTTTGGAGGGCAGGAGGTACTGTTTGGCAGAGGCACCCAGTCGGGATGCCAGGAGGTGTTAGCAACCGCCTGGCGGTACCTCTAGCAGTCCACAGGACAGGATTCCCCAGAGCGCGGAGTCGAAGTCCCAGCCTGCTTGTTCACCAGGGCCCCTGATGGTTGGGATGGACTTGGATCAGACTGGAACCAGGTCGCGGCCCCTGAGTACACCCATCTGCGATAGAGGAATCCGCCGGGGGTCAGTGCAGGTGGAGAGCCTGATGTGAAGAGGCAGAAGGCGGGAGCAGGGATGACTGGATCCGTGCCAGATGGAGGGATGGATGGATGGATAAGCGTGGTCAAACAGGCCAGGTCAGTAACAGAGGGGTTAGCGTAGTACCAGGCAGCAGGCAGAAGAATAGTCAGGTCACTTGCCGGGGTCAGTACCAGTAGTTCAGATCAGGTAGGGATATCCAAAAGAGAAGTCAAACTAGCCAGCGGTCAGAGCAGGAGAAGTCAGCAGAGGCCAGGTCCAGGCAGGTCAGCAACGAATCTCAAACAACAGGAATACAGGAACACAGGAATAAGACCATACAGCAATGAGTGTAAGTGCAGGGCAGGTTTAAATAGTGCGCCCTGCCCTGCCATTGGTGCAGGCGAGCGGCTGCCGCCGTCCAGGT